ATCTGGCAGCTGGTTCTAGAAGAGCCAGACACAAGCGAGCATCTTTCCTTCTTCCAGAGGAACGTGGCCTGGGGAGGAACATGATTTGGGAGTGATCCCTTTCTTAGTGAACGGAGGGAAGTTTGGCAGGTGCAGTATGGACTATCTGTGTTTGCAGGGGTTGCGTCTCCGTGTAGGAGTGACGGTCTTGCAGTTAGGCATGGGACTGAGGAACAGGGGATAGTTCTGCTTTCTCATCTCACCATGCAGCTTTGTTCATGAAGTACAGCAGTTGTCACCGGGAGTCTATAGCGAGGCCTGAGTTTGGACAACCGTTGCAAAGCTTCTGCTGAGCCCCCAACTTTTTCCTGCCCTAACTTTTGATCCACATCAGGCATTTATTTGCAAGTTTCCTGGTGTGAGAGCCAAGAGTGAAGATTCGGTGCTTAGCCTGCTTATGCACTTCTGAAAATCCTCCTAGGCGCCCAAGCGCACCATTAGTCACCTACGCACCAGTGGAAAACTGGCCCCGAGTCCTGTTGAGATCCGTGGAAGTTACTGGGAGGGAGGGAGAAGTTTTGAAAAGCTGACCCGGTGTTTAAAATTCTCACATGAAATTCTCAGCTGATGTAAATTTGTGCAGTCCCATTCACTCCCCCACCACACATGGTCATATACCCTTCTCTCTTTGCCAGTCTCCTGCCGTAGTCTTAGCTCCTTCCCAAGCCATTTTGATAGCTTTCAGTTTTGCTTCACTGTGCATTTCCATGCTATCGCTGGTCTATCTGGTCGCCGAATATCTGCCTTATTGTGTTATTCTGATCATTCCTCTGTGTATGTCCCAGCCATCTCCATATTAGAACAGAAGAATGGCCATACTGGGTCAGACCAAAGGTCCATCTAGCCCAGTACCCTATCTTTTCCAAGCTGAAAAATCCCAGTATTTGTAATCTCTCTTCATATGGGACCCGTTCCAAACCCCAGTCATTTTTGTGAATATCTGCCTTATTGTGTTATTCTGATCATTCCTCTGTGTATGTCCCAGCCATCTCCATATTAGAACAGAAGAATGGCCATACTGGGTCAGACCAAAGGTCCATCTAGCCCAGTACCCTATCTTTTCCAAGCTGAAAAATCCCAGTATTTGTAATCTCTCTTCATATGGGACCCGTTCCAAACCCCAGTCATTTTTGTTGTCCTTTTGAAAGGCCAATGTACGCAGTATTCAAGATGTGGGTGTACCATGGCTTTATATAGAAGCAATAAGATGTTCTCTGTCTTATTCTCTCTCCCATTTTAAATGATTCCTAACATTGTTTGCCTTTTTTACTGCCACTGCACATTGAGTGGATGCTTTCAGAGAACTATCCACAATGACTCCAAGATCTCTCTCTCGAGTGGTTATAGCTAAATTAGTCCCTATCATTTTGTATGTATAGCTGGAGGTATTTTTTCCAACGTGCATTACTTTGCATTTATCAACATTAAAATTCATTTGCCATTTTGTTGCCCAATCACCTAGTTTCCATAATTTCCTGTCCTGTCAGTTTGTTTCGTCCTTTTCCATAGTTCTTAGTTTGTAATCATTTCTGGCCATTTCATACCGAGATTTCTTTTTTTTCCTAAGACAGCTGTTTATGGAAACTTCTGGAGTTTAGACAGTAAGATTTGAATAAATCTGCAAGTTTCAGCACTATATAAATACCATGTTACTGGAACTATGGTGCTAGGAAGTGAATAGAAAAACCTGATCAACCTTCTCAAGATCATTCATTATTACATATCTCATGACATGTCCCTCTTCTCTTCTCTTCTCTTCTCTTCTCCAGACTGAATAAACCCAAATCCCCCAGTCTATCCTCATAGGTCATGTGCTCCAGCCCCCTAATCATTTTGGTTGCCCTCCGCTGGATCCTCTCCAATGCGTCCGCCCTAAACGTTTATTATTCTTTTTATACAATACATATTACTAAAACAAAACCAACTATTTATTAGGAGTACATTTACAGAGATGCTGAAACTGCAGCTAGCATTCCAGCCATAAGTACACAGGCTAACTTCCTGGTGTCTCCCCCAAACTCTTCCCTTTGCAATCTGAGCTTCTCCCTCCCAAATCCATGTAGATAGCTACACGGTGCTGAGTGCTGTTAATGCTCATCGGCTGCTGGACGTTTTGAGAATGCTCAGCACCTCGCAGGATTGGGCTCAGTCCCTGTTGAGCAATAGGGAAGCTCTAGTATCTTGAAATTCATAGATTCGAAGGCCAGAAGGCACCATTATGATCCTATACACTGACCTCAGTCCCACATTGGTCATAGAACTTACCCAGGATAGTTTTCTTTTGAACTAGAGCTTATTGTCTAGAAAAATATCTAATCTTGATTTTTTTTTAAATGCCAATTATGGAGAATCCACTTCAAACCTTGGTAAATTGTTCCAATGGTTTATTATCCTCATTTTTTATGCCTTATTGTTGGTCTGAATTGAAATTCAACTTGTAACCATTGGACATTTGCTTTGTCTGCTAAATTGAAGAGATTGTTACCAAATGTTTATTCCACAGACAAGGGAAATGTAATCAAGGTATTCCTTATACTTCCCTTTGCTACATTAATTAGATCAAACCCCTTGAGTTCATCACTCAGGCTGTGTCTACACTGCCAGTTTCTTTGGAAAAAGATACGCAAATTGCAAACAGCAATTTATGTACCTTTTTCCACTTGTTTTTTCAGAAGAGGCTTTTCAAACATTTGGCCCGTCTACACGGGGCCAAATATCGGAAAAACCTCTTCTTTCGGAAGAG